ACCACAGACGCAGCACCACAGTTTTTTAGAAACTTATTCCCTCTCTGATTGCAACATTTGAAAGCAAGAGGTTGTATGACATTTACTTGACACGTGCAAAATGAGTAATTCTTAGATTAGTCAGTCCAGTCTCGCTGCCTTTGAGAGCTGTAAAGAAACCCATGACTTGTTAAGGATGACACTGTCTGTCACGCATATCAATCTTTTTTCTTGCTTGTTTGCTGATTTTATACTCTATAATCAAAGGAACTGACGTATAACACTCGTCTACCGGACGACACCGCTAGATTACGATACTGACTCTCGCGCAGGTTGTTGAAACGGGTTTTGTCGAGGTTTCGCTCTGTTGCAAGCTCGTCCCTGCGAGTTGACCCCCCTGCCACGACAACTTCACCCCACATGGGACAAGAATTTCGCTTCTAAGTCTTTCTACTCATTGAATTTTTCTTCACGCCACTTCACGCAAAGCCACGCCATGTTACACATGTCACTTTCCACTGTACCGTTCTGTGATAATCTGAAGATCACAATCTAAACCGGATTTTGCTGGTATTTTTGCAGTTCCCAGCGAAAACAAGCGGGACTTACGTTCAATTGAGGAGACTCTTAATGATATTCGTAAGAGGAAGAAGTTTCGCCCGGGTGAGGCTGATGATGAGGAGGATGATGTTGAAGCTGAAGACAGTGGCTAACCTTCCCGTTATAGTCCTCAAGGTTCTCGAGTTATTGTGGGAAAATTTAGATTGTCTTAGAGAGAGGATGTTACCTTCCCAATCGTTCTGCCATCCAGTGAGCAGAATGCATTGTTTTATATCGCCGCAAGGGTCGCTTCTAGCCAATTTTTATACAGAATTTAGCGATATTCAGTCAAAATGCTTCTTCTCAAAGTAGATTTGAAGTTGATCTGATTCTATCACTCTGTGGTTAGTTTTAAATTCGATCTTAAGAATTTTTTCGTGATTTCTCAGTAGTCTTATCGTACAAGAACATGATGTAGTTGGAAAGTTGATAGTGATTGCCCCTGTTCGTAAAATTCGTCAGCTTTAATGGACGTTTTAATGATTCAATTCATCGACAGTTTTTGGGGGGCAAGGCTGATATTCAGTCATTTTAAATGAGCAATTGTTCCCGTTTTCTGAATTCGTTTGTCGAGCTTGATTGTAGCTCTGCATTGGTCAAGAGGAGAATCGGCTTGTATCCTTCGACCAATCAGAGAGAGGGCCGCAGTTTTAACCAGCTAGGAACAATGGAAAAGCCACTCGTGACTTCGCGTTCTGCATTGTAATTTCCCGCCTTTGACGCGGGTTGCAACTCTAGCTTTGAGTTTCGATTGCTTCTTGATTTAATTGGCATTTTTCTGTGATTGGCTAGATGCAGTTATCTTGAGCTGACACTTTTTCGTCGTTGGGTATTTAACACGTTAATGTTTGCTGAATATCTGTGAAACACCACCACTTTTTTCTACTTTTTCTGCTTTCCATATTTTTTGTAAGACATGATGGACATCGAATTTTGAGAGCCTGTAACTGCACCAATAGTGGTTATTTTACGTGTTTGACAGTTTTTGAATGAATTTCATTTAGTATGTAACTATAGATCTCTATCTCGTTATTTTTCAGAAGAATATAAGAAATTTATCGACTTATGTCAACCGATAGTTGTCTAGAGTATAAAACTCATCAGCTAGAATAATGTAATTTGAATAAGTTAACTTGCAAAAAATAAACAACTTGTGGCATTGTACAAATGAATTTCACCTTTTCCAATTTTTTAAGCCAGTGTTATTTACATAATTTTTCTTGTTGAAGGACATCACATCGTAATTTGAACTTTTCGAGGATGTTCGCAAAATCAAGGCAGTGGTTGCATGGCAACACTTGATTGCCGGACAATTTTCAATAAAACGCCTTTTTAAGGTTCGTAACTCTGTTTTGAAGGATTTCGAATATATTTGCACTTTTGTACATTGTATCGTTCTCCCACTTATTAGAATTTAGGTATGACATATTTTCTTCCATAATCTTTTCTTTAGAAGGCAACAACGCGGCTTCAAACATCACGTAGGATGTGTGAATAGGGCGTTAGTGAAACCTTTCATTGGCCGATCCTAATGGCGGAAACAACAGATCAGTTTGCACAGTTTTGGCACATTTCAGGAAGCATTTTGATTTTTATGAGACCATTGTGTCGAGCAATTGTGCGGCACCCAAAAGCAATTTCAAATTAATTCTACTGCGGAACGCTGCGAAACTATTAATTCGTGTAAAGAGACCGAAAAAGAGAATATTAGGTATCCTATTGTTGTGAGTTTTTAATATTGTCTTTGGTTGTCAAATTTTATGCAGAACCTCTTCACAGATGAAAATAATTTGCCTTCAGACAAATTTATTCGGTTCGAATGTTTGTTCAGGATGTTTGTTCGTTAAGTAAAAGTTCACCAGAAATATGACAACTTTGGGAAGAAACCTCGTTTCTTCTTCACCATTTAAAGAAATATTGTATATTTTTTCATACATTCTGCTAAGAAATAGCGGCAAAGATCTAGTCAGATTAAAAGTGCTTCAAACTGAAATTCGCATGCATACATTAGTTTCGAAACCAGCTGCTTACAAAAGAGAAACAGAATTGTGTTTTTCATAAATGCCTGCGTGGAGCTTTTGAGTTTTTCTGCTTTTTTAATGCTCATTTTTATGCTTATATTTTGTCTTTGTGAAATGGAAATTGGTTTTCACTTGTATTTTTTTCTCAAGGTAATTGCGACATTTCCTGGTTATGATTCAATTTATGACGTTCAGAAATTAAACTTAGTTTTTTTGAATAAAACTCAGGGATTTTTAAGGGGAAATTAGCATTTCTTCATAATAAAGATGATTTTTTCCAGAAGAAATTTGTAGATTTAACATAAGCCAAATTCAAGTTGTAAACTTTGTTTAGTGAGATGTTCGTTCCTGGGAAAAATTAGGTGCTTTATCATCTTTGATGTTTAATACTGAGGTAAACCGTAGCGGTTTTCAAGCCATGTAAGACATTTGTCTTCGATTTCTCGTGTGAGGTTCTCCACACTTTTCCATTGCCTGGTTCTCAAGAGTTCGTCATTATTTTTTTCTTCGATTTCCGCTGATTTGCTGTAGTTTGCCCACTCTTTCCCTGAAAATGTGTACCTTCTCGAAATTTTAGGGAAATAATTTGTTCGCGTCCACATACGAGTTGTGTCGTGTGCTCGTGTTGGCCATGTTCGTAGTTGAGTAATTCTGGGTTGGGTAGCGGAAAGCGGTCCAATGTCACTGAATCTTGATAAGTAAGAAGGTCGCTTGTTACATGAAGAACAACGTTGATTTCTAGCGGATTTTGTGCTACAGTACGTACTTGTTTGCGGTGTTGGAACAATGTTGTTGTTTGTTTTTATTCTGTTCAATTTAGCATCACTTTCATCTGCAGAATTAATGCCGTTTGTGACATCTTCTGATGTAGTTTTCTTCGTACAATTTTCCGTCGAAATTTCTTCATTTTCAGTCTCTTCGCTGTCTTCGAGAATTCGTTTCGCGTTGCTAATAGAAGATTGTACGTTGCGGATAAACCTCTGGGGATGAATTATCCTTCGTCTTGTTTTCTCGCGAAATGTACCGTTTGATTGCGATTTTTGTACTTTCACTTCCTCGGCGAAAGAACTCCCCCGCGCCTTCCTTTCTTCTGGCAAAAGATCAAGCCTGCCAAGTGAAATCATAGTCTGTTTCATTTCCTCAGACATTGGGAACAGCTCTGGAGTTCCTTTCCGATGTAATGATGGCTTTTCCATCGCAGAATTATTGTGTTTTCGTTCCCTCTTTGGCTTATGTCCATGATGGTCGACGGCTGTGCTTTTGTAGGTCGAATTTTTCTTCACGTTTGGTTGCTGCAGCGGCCTTTTCGTAAACATGTTTGCCAGCATGACCTGTCTGGCCACTTTTCGAAAATTGAGCGTTTCACCTGTTATTTTACCGTTTCTGTGAGGTATTTTTCTTGTCCTCGTCGTTGTCCCCCTAGTCTCCATTTCGGAAATTTTAAAACTCGTCATCAAGAACTGTTGCGAAAATTAAACAGCAATGTTCCCCTCTGTCTCCCCGAGCAGCAACAAATTTATGGCTTATTTGCCTAGCAATGTCTTCCACGTCACTAGAACGCACTGTTTTTTACCCGTTTCTTGCAACACTGAGTTAAGACATTTTTTCTAACAAAGAGATGTCGGTTTCAGTGTGAACTAAAGCACATGTGATCGGAACCGGAGTTAACCTTCGAATTCTGAAGATTCAAATCATTTTTAATCAAGCTCTTTGAATTCTCGAAATGCAAATAAAGGTCTATTTATCGCCAATTATGCTAAAAATAAATAAAGATCGCCGATAGCGCATTGAAATTACTTTTTCCTGAGGGTTATTTGACATAAGATGTCAATAAAACAGCGACCTATTTGTAAATCGGCTTTTGTCCCCCAAGTCGGTTGGTGCGATGCTCTCAAAATGAGAATTCATTATTCGCGAGACTCTAAATGTCGGTTTTTCTCGTGTGTTTTCGTTATCCTATTTTGAAAAAGTTTAACCCCTTAGCTATCAGGGATGATAAATATGTAGTTTCTTCCTATGATATCCAAACGTTATCCAACAAAAAGGTGTTGAGAATACTAAAACTTATCAGGTAGAAGTTGTTATTTTGATCGAACACCAAATTCTCGTAACTGATGAATAAGGAAATGTGTAGCAGCTAAAAGGGAGAATTATCAATCAGATCTTGGGAGTTAAAGGGGTAATTACTAACAATCTTGTAATTACTAACAATCTTGTAATTTGCATAATACTATGATGTAACGTTGTGGTGCTAAAAATTCATTTTATAAAATATTTCATAATTTAGAGAGGATAAAGAGACAGAACTCATACCCCTTCCGACGACGACTGTGTGAAAATAATTTTAGCGCGCGTTCCAGTGGCGCGACCGTCTTGAGAGCCCAAGGCTTGTGGTTTGTTGTTTCGTGATAAAGTTTGATGTGTAATGTTTGGTGGTTTGTGGTTTACGCAGCTGTTTTGGGGATGACACTTCGTTAATCAATTTTAGGAGGTGAAAACCTCTCTAAGCTAAGCCGTCCGAAACGCGAGCTGTGAAAGCGCTACCTTAGAGCTCTACTCTAGAACCCTGGGTTTCTATTTTACCCACACTCTATAAGATAAGAGGCGAGGAGGAAGTTGTATTAGAGAGTTGCAGTCGTTTATACAGGCAAATTGCCTCTCGGGTTTTCAATTCATAATTTATTTGACAGAATACAGCGGGGGAACCGTGCATTTTAGATTCCTCTCTTAAATTGTTACGTTAGAATTTCGCGCATTTTCAGTTTGTCTCTTTGACTGTTACTTTACAACCACGCGTATTTTTAGTTTACTTTCTTAGATCTCGTGCATATTTTGTTATCTCTCTTTGATGGTAACGTTTGTATCTTGCGGATTTCTGTTTCCTCTCTTTGATTGTTACATTAGAATCTCGTGCACTTTAAGTTTCTTCTGATTGTTTCGTTAGTATTTTGCGCATATTTGATTCCCTCTCTTCAATTGTTATGTTAGCATCTGTCACATTTTTAGTTTACTCTCTTTGACTGTAACTTAAGGATCCCGTGAATTGTAGTTTCCTTTGTTTGGTAGTTACATTTGTATCTCGCGCATTTTCAATTTCCTCTCTCAGATTGTTACGTTAAAATCTTGTGGATGTTTAGATTCCTCTCTTTGATTGTTACGTCAGAATTACGTTCATTGTTAGTTTCCTGTTTTTGACTGTCACGTTAGAAGTTTGTGCAGTTTTAGTTTATTCTCTTAACTTTGATTGTTATGTTACAATTTTGGCGCATTTTAGTTTCGTCTTTTTTATTTTTGCGTTTGAATCTTTTACATTTTATCGTTTCCACAGGCAAGTCAAGAATTTAAAGAAAGCGACAAAACTTTTGAGTCTGTAAAACATGTTTCGACAGAAACTTCTGTCATCTTCAGTTAATTACTGTACAAAGCGTTGAAAGTTTAATTATATGGTAAGTAGAACAATGCTAATTATGATGAATAGTGACAATAAGAAAACCGCTAGAGGCGTGATCTAAAATATGGAAGTTATCTGCTTAACACAAAGCGCGACAATGTGGAGAATCTTTCAGATGCTTGAAAATGTGAGAGGCTCTGTCACTGACTAAGTGCTCTCCAAGACGCAAGATAAAAGAGGCTATTCACATTCAAAGAGAACAACCATCCTTGAATCAACAATTACACCATGTAAATCTAAAACTTTCCTTTTAATTCTCACACTTTCATGCTTTATCTCTTTTCTTCTTGTCACTATTCATCATAATTAGCATTGTTCTACTTACTATATAATTCAACTTCCAACGCTTTGTACAGTAATTAACTGAAGATGACAGAAGTTTCTGTAGGAACATGTTTTACAGACTCAAAAGTTTTGTCGCTTTCTTCAAATTCTTTTACATTTTAGTTTTCACTCTTTCATCGTTACGTTAGTATATCTGTTGCATTTTTAGTTTCCTCTATTTGATTATTACTTCAGAATCGCACGCATTTTCAGTATCTTGTCTTTGATTGTTACGTCGTTATCTTACGTATTTTCAGTTTCCTCTCTTTGATTGTTACGTTAGAGTCTCGTGCGTTTTTGTTTCCACGCTTTGATTGTTACGTTGGTATCTTGCGCATTTTTAGTTTCCTCTTTTCGATTGTTACATCAGAATCGCACGCATTTTCAGTATCTTGTCTTTGATTGTTACGTTGTTATCTTACGCATTTTCTGTTTCCTCTCTTTGATTTTTACGTTCAAGTTAAAGTCTCGTGCGTTTTTGTTTCCACTCTTTGATTGTTACGTTAGTATCTTGCGCATTTTTAGTTTTCCCTCTTTGATTGTTACGTTAGTATCTCTTGCATTCTTAGTCCCCTCTCTTTGATTGTGATCCATTTCAGTTTCTTTCTTTGATAGTTTTTTTTAGTATCCTGCACATTTTCATAATAAAGTTTCTCGCTATAGAATGAGTGTGGTTTGGCAAGTTTTTTGGCTTTACTATTAACTTTTAGGGTTATCTTTCGGGAATTTTTTTGGTTATTGCTTGAGATATTGCGTTCCAAAGACATCTTCGTTTTATTTTCATACTTACGTTCGTATTTTCATCGCTTGCGTCTCTTTCGTATCTTTGAATTCTGAGGAGAATTCAGAAAATGTCCTCGGGTCAAACGTGACCTACTCACATGGCGGCATTCGTAACCTCTCCTCATTGTTTCTTCCATGTGTCTTTGCGAGTCTAGTTTGGTCACTTGGGAAACCTATGATGTTTCACGATGTTGTATTTGGAACATCCCGCAATAGATGAACCCCTGTTTTGAAAAGGTTTGTTTTTGTATTTGATACGCTTAAACAGGTGTCCCTACCCCATTCAAAAACCTGATGTACTTTATTTCCAGGGTGGAGATAACCACAAGATAGAATGCAGATCTTTTGTGATTATCGATATTTCCTAAGAAGACTTAAATTTTGTTTACATCAAATTTGGTAAGAACCATACATTTTAGATTCACTGAAGTCGCGTAAGAGCACATTAAATGGAAAATAAGTGTTTTAAACAGGGTGTAGTATTGCTGTGTCAACTAACTGAGGCAAGTAAAAGACCTTAAATTGGCTAAGTTAGCAACGATGATTGGAAACTTGTGCCACTATGGGCTCGATTTTCGCCGCTTTCTCGTGTCCAGTCTTTGCTCTTTCCCGAGAGTGCGTTCAAGGAGAATGGGTGGGGAGAAGGAAGAGCGCAGGCTCACGTTCACGAACAGCGGCTGGTGATCAAGCCGAGGGCAACTATTGAGGTGAGGCAACATAATGGTTGTAGTGACACTTCAATCAATATTCTGTAAAGAATAAGGAACCATTTTGAGACCCTGTCACTGGAAAATTCAATTCAATACCACACTGTCACATTTTCCACTCAGACAAAAGGCAAGGAGACACATTTTGCCCTATTGAAATATATTTAAATTTTCTGTGCATTCATGAGGTGGGAGAAATACCGTCCTTTAAAAAAAATTCCCAAAATAACCTAAAATGTGCTTTTTAAACACAAGGTTATGGTATTTTTTTCAAAGGGAAACTAACAGTTCACTCGCATGTGCAATAAAAAAAGCAAGGCAAAACAGAACAAAAAAAGTTTAACAAGCCATTTCTACTTATGTACAAGATTGTCCTAACATAAATACTTTGCATGCATTGATATGCATTATGGGTAACAAAAAAAATGTCTTACATGGTGAAAAATTTTTACATCCAAAATTTAGTTAAAAACTTATGTAAGTTGTAATTCTATGTGCTAATTTATGTTAGGCTTAAAACGTTCTGGACTAGTTGCATTATTTTTAACCTTATACATTTCTAAATTCTACATTCTAATCAAATGAAAAAATTATTAGCTAAAGCCGATAAATAAATACCCAAAAAGTGTAACTATCAGTGTTGCCAATTAGTAAACTTTGCTAGGTTTAAGTCTAAATTCTATCTGGAGAAGAGAATTGTGTTGCCGTCATAAAAACTAGAAAACATGGAACATAAGCAAAAAGTACTATTAACAAGAGACATCCAAGTAATTTGTTGAACATTTTTATGCCTTGATGGTAACATTATCAAGTAAAACAATTTTCAATTTACTTTTTTCAACATTGTTTTTCCTTCAAACTAGTCTCTTTTAGAAATAAATTTTTTTTGGACAAGATGTTGATTATGTTATGACAAACAAGGATTAAATATGCATTTAAGAGTGCTCTGAGCCCAGCGACAAATTCACATAACATTTTTACACACTTAAGTTAGAAACTGTTCTTGTTATTTTTGACTTTGAGTCCATAATACAAGTTAATTCCAACTGGTACAATCTGGTCTTGAGGTCTACTTGCTGTTTGATTTGTCAGCTGGGCTCAGCAATTCCTCAGCGATCTGCCATTATTAACACAAATGCTATAATAGACAACGCCACAGTAGACCATCCTCCACCATATGACCAGCTGAAGAACACATCATCCTTCCAGTTGAAAAATGTGAAGACCAACAAAGCAATGACCACGAGAATGGCTACATGCAAAAATAGAGGAGATGGTTTAAGACAAAAATCAAAATCAAATTTTATAAGCCTTAAGGTGCTCCTTCATCATGAAAGTTAACACTTCAACTCCCAGAAGTGATTAAAATGTAACATCTCCCTTTAATATCCATACACTATCTAGCAAACGGGTAATGAGAATACTTAAACTTAGACAGGTAGAAGTTATCTTGATCTGTCACCAAATTCTCGTAACTAATTAACAAGGGAATGACTAGAAGCTGGAGAGGAGAATTATTCAGATCTTGGGAGTTAAAAGGATAATAACAAGATCTAATGGTCATTGCATACCTGCTGCACAGAAGAATCCACCTACAGTGAAGGATGGAAAAGGATGTCCCTTTCGTATTGCTGCCACAATGGCTATGATAAAAGCAATTAAATGGCAGATAAGGGCCAGAAACATCAAGGCAATCACAGCTCCATTCCAGTCTGAAAAACAGAAACAACATCCATCAGTACTCAAAACATTTTCATTCTTTGAGCTAGAGAGCCAGTAAATATTTCCGTCCCTTCCTATGGATAACCATGTTTGTCAACCCTTTAATTCTTAGAATTGATTAACTTTTAACTTCTCATTGCCATTCCAATACACGATCTTGAAAACAGGTTGTGAGAATAGCAAAGCTTGTCAGCAAGAGGTTGTTATCTTAATGTAACATAGAATTCTCCTGTATAATTTACAAGGAAACAACTAGCAGTCAGTTGGAAGAATAACTACTTGGATCTTGAGAGTTAAAGGGTTAAAGCTTATGACGGCAGGACATGATGGTGGTGTGGAGTAGATAAAGGTCCTAAGGTTGAATTCTGCTCTGCCTACCTGCTTGATTTTTTTTAAATTTCAGAGTCAACAGTCAACCTAATGGACCCCCATAGACAAATTTATTTACACAGAATCATAAAATGATAAAACAGATTTTGTAAATCATAACACAATTTCGTAAATCAAAAAAATATCAACTACATTTGTGTTGGGTTGCTATCAAGTGGCATGTGACTGAATATGTCCGAGCTAAAACTGGGATATGTCCAGTCTTTTTTTTCACTATTATTTTCAAACAACATATCCAAAACCAGGGAGATCTCTGTTCAAAATGTACTTCAAGATTACAAAATGTTTGCTGTTGTTTCAGAAGAAGGGAAAATCTCCTTTCCTGATTAATTATAAGACAGTGAATGTTTTTGACAGGAAAACATTTTTAAATATTCGGTCTCAAGAGGCACAAGACTGTTTCTAGAATAATAAAGATATCAGCTAGCCTCCAAATAAAAGGAAAATATATTTAATATATTTCCTTGCACATTATTTGCATGAGCATTTGTTGTTGGTCAGTTTTCCTTGAACTTCACTGTCTGTAATTTGTTTGCTTCTTGGAAAATATAACAAAGGTTTTTACACAAATGTCAGAGCATGTCTTAGTGCAAACTGAGGCTCCTGTTAAATCGAAATGCATTATATGTAATACTATGCACTATCACTGTTTATGTTCAGGCCAGAATATTATTTGTTATGGCATCACTTGATGTATACTACTTTCTTTATAGTTGTAGGCAATTGCAGGATTCTGTAACAATCATATCTCTGTTTATTTTTAACATAAATGCATATGTGCTTCCTCCATAAAATATTTTAGGCAAAAAATCAACCCTGAAGTTTCTGAAAATTACACACTGACACATTCAATTAAAACAAGATCATTTGCTTCTGTAGAAGAACAATAAAGTGCATTGGACAATTGTTCAATCAAATAAAATTTCTGGACAAGTTACCGAAGAAAAGGCATGTTACACTTAAACCACATAAAACTGGACTTAAAACGGATTATGCTGTTTTTTCAAGATTTCTTAAAATCATACTAGAAGCCTATAAATATTTAACTTAGCAGTTACAAGCTGTGCTGCCTTTACTCAAATGCTTCACCCAGTGCTAGTGGCAAATTAAAACTTGATCAATTTAGCAACACTGACTTGAAAGTCCCAGGAAACAGAAAAATTAAAAACCTCCTGTTGCAAATCATATCTCTTGTACCTTTAGATTATTTATTGACAAGAATCACCGCTATTTGCGGAAAATTCCAGAACATGATTGTATTCTAAGAAAGGAGTATGTTTAATGTGTTATATAGAAGCTTTAGGCAATAATTTAAAGGTAGCTCGTGGCATTAAACTAAAATTCGAAACATAAAAGTTTTTTTGAACAACAAAGATTGTTACAAAGAACCAAAAACCTTTAGAATATGTATAAGAACTGTTCATAATTAGAATAATTATTCAAAACAACTGGTTGTAATTGGTATGAGTTAAAGTTTCGAGCCGTAATCAATCTCTAAACTCCACGTTAATAGAAATTTGTCATTGACAAAAGTTAGTCTGTAAAGTCAATTTGATGTTACAGAGATCTTTGTCAAGTTGAGAGTCTATAAGCAAATTTTATGTCCTAACAGTCAGTCAGGTAATGAACAAAACAAATGTAAACAAGACACGCAAATATTTTTTCTTCGACATACTATAAATACCAAATCAGAAAAAGATGTACCTGGTCTTCCCAAATCGTGTAATTTAGTGCAGCTATCTGCGGCAACAACAGTGTTGTTGATCGAGGATTCAGAACAAGTTTGAAACAGGCCTTCATGGTGGTATTGTACACCTCCGATTTCCTTCGCTTCTTTCCACCACACTAGCCAAAAGTCGGTGGCAAGGGCCAAAATTCCCAACAGAATTGCAGCTAAACAGCTCACAAAGCTTGTTATGACTTTGATCATTGTTTAGTATTAACGCGTGCTCTCTCAGAGCTTCGCTTTCCCAAGAACGAAGTCACAGGGTGTGCCGATGGAAATTTGAAAAGAATCTTTACGTAGCGTTCTGCTTGATTACAATGCATACTTTCATTTATGTTCGCTTCACTTCACGCATAATATTTTACATACGTATGATTTTAGAAATTACTGCGCGGTGGTTCACTAGTTACAATTATTAGTAACTTTTTTCTGGCTATCTCACAGAAATCAAATGAAAGAAATCGTCACTGACAGATAGTTTCGTCGATCGCTGCTCCTTTCGGTTGTGGAGTAAAACACAAGTGACTAGAAAAACCTGTATGACGCCTACTTCACACTAGTAACCATTTTCAAACGTTGGCAAATCAACTGCTCACCTGATTTCAGTACATCTTGAAGCGTGTGCTTATCATTGGAACAGTCAGATTCCGCGCTTATGAGTTCGTCTGTAACGTTATCCCTTGATTCCCAACAATGTCTGAATAAACCTCGGTAATGAGTGATGTTTCTGTTGTGAGAAACTATCACCCACTGCAGCCAGTAGGTCGTGGCTAAGCTCAAAATGATCATCAGCATCGCTGCAAAGGCGCAGACAACCGACGCTATGACTTTGATCATGATAACACGTTTGTTGTAGCGACAGATCGGAACAGAATTTCTAAAAATCGTTCGAATCTGTTATACAGAACTGCCGTGTAAACTGAAACTGAACTCCGCTAGGATTTGTGGGTATGGCGTTAATATGCGCGAACGGCGCGCGGCTCGTGCGGGTATCATGCGAGTTTACGCGCGGATGCGTGCAGGTACGTAAGCCAGGATCACGCTCGTGTGACGGTGGAAAAAAGCAAATATATAATTGTTGAACTCTGACCTCGGTTTGCTTCCAGAGTGGATTTCTCTGACATATAATATTCAGTGAAGATCTGGTAAGTCATCTAGGGAAAATTGGACTCTTTTTCTCCCACTTATGAATAATTTATTTCATGGGACGATTTAGGAAAAGAAACTCAGACAGACCTTTTTATTTCAAGTGGAAAGCAGCGAACGTGCCTCGATCTTTGATGGATCTGTGCGATTCTAGAATTTATCAATTTCTTGACACGCATCAAAACTTAGAAGTTTCTTTTGCAAGCTATAAAGCTTCACCAGTCAATTTTTCTCCATTTGACATTTTTTCCACTGGAAACAGAAAAAAACGAAGTTCTCTTTATTCTCATCTTTTTAGTTTTCAAGAAATTGGAGGTCCCTACTCGGTGCGTGATCAGTAAAATTACGTCATTGCTTATTCTGATCGATTGCTGTTTTCTCATGGGCAAAATAACACGACCGTTGACAAGCCTCTCGATTGTTATTACGTTATGTAAGGAGATAAGTTCAAAGGGAACTGTACACCATTTCTCCTGCCTTTCTTAGTGATCTGCTTCTTGGCATAGTAGTAAATAAACCTTCTCGTCGCAATATGCAAAATAAATCGATCTTCTCCACGTCTTCCTCGCCGGAATGGACTGGAACAGTGAATTCTGATAAAAAGGTTAGTAGTTATTTTTAAAATTTTCAGGTCTAAACGAAACATTTCACGTGCACCTTAACGACGTGAGGACAGCTAAGCTTATTGCTGGTGGTGGATGCAATGATCGAGGATCGTTTTATTGGTTAAGACTCTTTTAGAGTTGAATGCTCGTTCACCTTCAGCCTCGCTGGTCCTAGCGATCGTACGTACTTCATGTTTCTTCAAAGGTCACGGTGGAAAAAAGCAAATATATAATTGTGGAACTCTGACCTCGGTTACGGTTGCGTAACGGTGTGTACAAAAAACTGAATCATTTTCGCTCAAACTGTTTTGCAAATTTAAAAAGCGAGGCATAAGATCTACTTTCGTCGCGTTTCAATACGGTTGAATTTGTAGGCCTTAGCGATCTTCGAGTTTTTGCGTGCTTATGTGTCGTACGGGAGGTGAGGGGGCGGTTTCGAACTTCCAGAACTTTATGTCAAAGCAACATGAGGTTTCTACGGCATGAAGTCGAATCCTGTTTTTTGTCTCTTCAAAGCAGCAATTTGCGTTTGCGAAGTATTAAACGGGTCAATTTGTGCCCATATTTAGTGATAAAATTTCCAAGTCCATCTACCTGGGTGGACAATCAACATTAAAAAAAATAATTTGTGACAGGAAATGGTCGTGATCACCCTTCTAAATCTATTTATGTACAGGAATCTGCGAGACAATGTTCTGAAAATAGATAAATGATTGGATGATAAATTTGCCCGGAAAAAGGAAAAGGTTCTAATAAAAGCAAGTTAGTTGTTTCTGTTCCAGTCAGAGCAAAATTGAGAGAACCGATTCAATCTGGTTGACAATTGTTTTTACCCTATGGCTTATTGATAAAGTTGCAATTCCCTAATCTCTTTTTCAGTGTCTTAATTTTTTTTCAATGCGTTTAATTTTATTTGCTGATCTTTTTCCCACTTATTTTCGATCGTTTAGATGGTCAGCGCTTTGGATATTCACCGTGGCAGTAGTGAGTCTGTGAGTGTTCCCATTTTGAGAGCAACTGAAGTGGGTGAAAGATGGCCAGTATTATTGTGGTTCTACTTGAAGACATTGGGGCTTTATCATTCTGGTAAAGGCATAACTTCCCTTTTTACCTTTAAAGCCTTCCATAGTAAGGTTTAAGTTTCCTTCTTCTTGAAATATTTATGAAATATTTCTTGTTTTTATAATTAATGCTATTGGTATTCTATTGCATTCTTCAAACTTTATTTTTGCCAAGTTTCTCTGATCTCAGATTTTTGGCATAAAATACCAAAGATGTTTCCTGATAAGTGTCATTCCATTTAAACATACGAAATTAAATTTTTTGAGCTGTACATTCATGTTTCCTGTTTCTTAAAAATATCTGTTATTTGGTTTCCTTTACTTGTTAATTGTCATCTGACTAGTAATTCTCCTATTACCTTCAATAATAATATCCTGTAGATTAGTTGAGAGAATGTAATATTATCCAAAAAATAGTGTCCTTCCAACGTCAAATATTTCTATTCTAATCACTTTGTTTTCAGGATAATATAGATTAGTGAGGGAGAAGTTGCTTGTAAATCATTTTTGGGAGTTAAAGGGATTATTACCAACATAGTTATACACTTAAGGTTAACATATGAATTATTAATCATTCTTGTGGGCTCTGAATACAGCAGAATGCCTTGTCAGTCATGTCATGGGTTCCATGTTCATTTTGATACCGTTGTGTTATATCTGATTTATCTTTCTCCCTTCAGGTTTTCTGGTTCGTTCCAAACTATGCAACAGATGTGCAAAGTCAAAGACACACACTGCCTTCTACTACACAGATAATCAGTGTAAGGTGTGTAACAGCCTGACTTGGGATTACAAGGGTGTGCCAACTGTTGTCACTGACAAGGAAATAGGCTCATCATTTCTGAACCACTGTGGTAGTGGATTTCTTTCACTGATGTGGCTCCTGCTTATAACTGGTGTCACATTGGCTAACATTGTGCTGTTGATTGCAAGCTATGCAAATTCTGGCTGTGATATTGTTCATGTGCTTGCTTGGATTGGAATGAAGCTGTTGCTCTACATTGGTCCATTCATATGTTTCATTTCTGTTGTCCACGCCACATGGCCAAGTGTATTCATGGGGAGCTGGTCAAATGCATTGGCTGTAGAGTTCCTTGTCCACCGGATGAGATTTGTCAACATGAAGGATAAGCAGTTTGCTGGTTATGCCCTCTTTCTTGGGAGTGTTGTTGTGATGGGCACCCAGTGTCTGAAGATAACAGCACCATATTTTGACCCAGAGCTGGTCTCGCCCATGGTTGCTAATGAAACACTTTCTAGTCTAACAACCTTAGTTCCTCTTCACTTTTTTGTCATTGTAGAAGGTTACATTAATTTTGGTGGATTTTGCTACATAGTGTACCTTCTGCGTTGCAGCTATGAGTCGGAAATCAAACTGGTAACAAAGTTTCTTCAAGAAAATATTGACAATATTGATTTGTGCAGAGCTCGTTTGGCTGAAGCATTTGATGCCTACCATATATTCCGTGAATTTTCATCAGGTTGGATTGCACTGAACCTAATTTTGTGCACAGTCTGTCTTTTTCTGGAGTTGCATGTGTGGATTGTGAAGACTGATCCACTTTCCTTTTTTCAATATGTGCATTCATTTCTGTTACTCTTCTTTTTAATGCTGCCAATCATCTCTCTTGGTAATGTTGATGTTGATTACTTGTGGAATCGCTTGGTTCGCCAAGTCAGTCGTCAGAGGAAGTCAGAGCAAGAAGATTCCTGGGATAAAATTATGCAGTTTCTTCAGGAACAGCGTGCTGGTGCACGTCCCTGGCAAGCTGTTTTGGCATTCTTCTTGTCAACTATTGCAGTTTTCTCTGCCATTCAGTTCAGACTGTGGTCAAACAATCAGAAAATTGTCAATGTATATACAATGACAAATGGCAGTTTATCCTTAATGCAGCAATTCCATTACTCATGAAATTCAAATTTAAAATGGCGTTTTTTGCAATGTTTGACACAAATACAATGGTTTTATACTGATCACATTCTTGGTAAGATTATGGGACAGTTAGATTTTTTAATTGTTTATTGATCGGAGGGGATATTTTTATTTGTTCAAAGAAATGATTGGGGCTGGAATAAAATGTACTCTTGAGGAGTTGGAGTCATGAGATAAATGTCACCTTTTCAAATTGTTGGGACTTTTTAACTAATAACAATGAAGATTTGCTTGGATGGACATAAAATTATAAGGATGTATCAGTAATGAGTATTTTGGAGAACTTGTTGTCTTTCATATCCTGTTCTTCAGTTAACCCGCTAACTCCCAAGATCTGATTGTTGATTCTCCCCTCTTGCTTCTACTCATTCTCTGGTAAATTGGTTACAAGAATTTGGTGATAGATCAAGATAGCAACTTCTACTGGATAAGTTTGAGTAGTCTCATTACCTGTTTGCTCAATAATGTCTGGATATTTTATAGAGAAGTTATTTGTTAATCACTTCTGGGAGTTAAAGGGTTAAGTAAATAAAAACTAGGAATTGTAAGAATTGGACAATAAAAACTTCAAGTCAATTTTTCAGATTATGTTTATTGAACTTTGTGGTCTGTTGATTTAAAAATTTTAAATTAGAATTTTCCTGCAGAATGCTCAATATAAACAGCTGAAACTTTCTTGGCTTTGTTATTATTATGTTACACAATCATAAACCTTCCATATCTTTTCTAGTAAATTGTGCAATCTTTTACTTTTGATAAAATATTAAATAAAAGTTTATTCACAATGGATACTTCTCACATTCACATATTGAAATTCTCTACCCTTCCATTTTATTACCTTTTTTTTCATTCTAATAACTTCTACTTACTATGTATATCAAAATATTTCCATCCCTATCAGGGATGGATCTACAACAAATAATTATTATACAGTAGAGCCTCCCAAGGAAAACAAAATTGTTTGAGTTAGCAGAATTTCAAGCTAACAGGAAATGACTGAAAAATGGGATCAAGGGAGACTGGATCTTGTTTGAGTTAGTGGGGGAACAAAAATTGGTTGAGTTAGTGCAGGTTTGAGTAAGCTGATAGTAAATAACCCAAAAAATAGGTAGAAGGAAATTAGATCTTGTTTGAGTAACTGGGGGGTTTGAGTTCACTAAGTTTGAGTTAGCAGGGTTCCACTTGTACTATGTGGTGGAGATGTACATTTATGGAGTGATTTTGTTTGCATTTTTGCATAAGTTCTTACAATACCAGTAAACAATTACATAAATTTTGAGTGAGAAATTTTGAAATATATTTTGTGCCTTGCAAAGCTGTCAATGAGGTTGAGTGTATTCCATAACCTCTGATAATAACACATTTGCCATTGATATTAGGGGAGTCCTTGCCATGTAAAGACAATATTAAGTTAAATAAGCCAAAAGTACTTTGATAAATTGATTAACTTATCTATTATGTTTTCGAAGTCATCCTTAATATTAAAACCTTAGTTCAAAGGCTCAGTGGAAAAACTGAATGATGTAAATTTCTGTACATTCCCCCCACCCCACCCCTCCTAAATTGCCTTAGTTTTCCTGGCATGTGGCCTGCAACTCAGTAGACAAACAATGTCCAGCAATTTGCTTTTCATTTTCTCAAACTTGGGTTTTTGTTTGTTTGTTTGTTTTTCTGTAGGCTGAAAGTGTCCATCAGGCTTAGTGAACACAGGTCTCTCTTAGTTCTTGCAATTAATGTTTACTACTAATCTTAGTCTTCATCCCCCATTTCAGTGATACAAAAAAGTTTCTTTTTTAGTCTTGTAACTCTGCTGCTACCTCCGCTGCCTCCTGTCCCAATCTCTATCCTGTCCTCTTGCCATTGGGTGGTGGCTTCTACCCCCACCCCTACCACCATGTCCTTGATGCTGTCTTGGGCTTTCTTCATCAGAATATTGTTCCAGGTCTGCAGACTCTTCCTCAGGATAATCAGGAGATTGTTGGTTCCACTTTGCATTACTGACACCTTTATTTTTTGTCATTTTCTCTGAATATGATCCTTGCTGTGATCTGATGCTCTGGGTTGGGAAATTGCGTCTAGGACTTCTTCCCCCAGGTTTAGGATCATCCATTGGGTGACTGAGATGTGTCTTTCTTGTTGGATGCATTTGATTGGGGGGTTCCTCATCAGCATACCTGTCTTCAATGGGCTGTTGCCGCCTTATTACTTGTTTGCCTCTTGCTGCATTAGTATAGCGTTTATTATAGTCATTGTTCTCTTGCTCTTCAGCACTATAATCAGAATGGTAGCTCTCATTGTCTGAAAGTCTTCGCCTTTCCTTTGGACGCCCACCAGTCAGGACCATGTTGTTTTCCATGCCATACTCCTCCTCCTCCTGAAAGACAGGAACCTTTCCCTCTACTGACCACTGAAGAATACAGAAATCACGACTGCCAGTTGTTATGAGGTAGGTGTCTGATGATAGGAAGAGCATCCGTGTGACAGGACAGCTATGACCTCGCCACTGGTGATAGTGAGCCTTCAAAAAAATATAATCATAAATGAACAATAATAATACTGACAAGTGCTATTGGCCAGGTGAGATGGTATTGAAAAGGGGTTGTCAGTGACAGGGACTAAAATTTCAATAACATGTGATTGGATAGAAGTCTTCATTTAAGTCAAGAGTTGAGTCTGGTTTTTGATAACTACTGATTTTCAATTAGTTGAAATAAAATGTTGTACAAGCATCAGTTACTGTCCCCAACACAGCCTTTTTTTGGACTACCCTTATAATTTAGCAGGTAATCACATGAAATCATTGAATGTTACTCCACCTGTTAACTAGATAACAGCAATTTCACTTTTATTCATAAAAATTATAATAATTACAAGGAAAAAGAAATACTAACATCATGATAAAATACAATACACGTATAGAAATACGCCAAGTCTTATTTTGATCTAGACTTTGAATTTATCCTCATCTTGAAGGAGTCTTCAACATCTTAGTTAAACTATATGGTTACAAAGACTTCAATAAATGACTTATCACTCACCCCTGGTTGACTGCATGGGAATCTAAACAGACGGATATATCCCAACTCATCTCCTACAGCAAAAATATCACGTGACCATGACAGGTCAGAACTATTCACTAAATTTCCATCATCTGGTTGAGAAGGCCACACTCCTGCATAAGTAAGTGATGAAAGATATAGGAATTATCATGAAAAAAATGTTTCAACTGTTAAAGAATATTCTCTACAGCTGTCAAAAATTTGCCAGCCATTGGTGCAGAGTTTCATAAACTTAAAAGAGGTATCATCCCTTGGATCTTTGTACATTACAATAATTCTCTTTATTAATGGTTTGTACTAGCATTTTGTCACATTTTCAGAGCAGTAAACTGAACTATGTTATTGATAAATATCTTTGTCGTTTTGCCTTTCCAAAGTTATACACTTTACCTGAGACATTGGATTGGCTTTGACCTAAGACCTCCTGTTCTTACCATCTGTGTAGTCTAATATGAAGGCTAGGAAAATGGTAAAATTTTTCTCACAATTTCACATTTTTCATCCAGCACCCACTTTCCCCATTTCATACCTGCTACATCATATCCTAACATGACATTTCTTGTGGACCAGTCAATATCGCGGATAACATCTTGTGACTCTTCTCTCAGAAATCCACCAATCTCCCCTGAAAAAGAGGATTAGAAGCACATTAACCAAGGTATAAAGTTAATTCTCCCAACTGAGTATGGTAAATTTCTTTGTTATTCAATCAAGCTGATATTCCCTCAGTGATATTATTTTCATTTTCTTTATCCACTTGAATGAAGGTTAATTGGACAGTCACTTTAGGAAGGACTGGCAGATGAAGTTTCCTTAATTCCACAAGATTTATGCTGAGCAACATTCACTTTCGCATTGGTAAGAGGAGGAACAGAAAAACATTTTTAATTGCCACAGCAAAAGTTTGAAACACCATGGTGGGAGTTTACACCACCATGGTAAAGGTGAGGTGTATATTATAGATAAACTTGATTCACTTACAAACAATGTGTTCGTAGTCAACAGACAAACTCTGAAGGAAGCAGCCATCAAGAGACCAATCCAAAAACATAATTGGTTCGCTATGCCCCTGTTGGGAGAGAGAGAGAGAGATGATTGGATTCTTCCCAATAAAATTCAAATGCTTTTCTTTCAGAAAATAACAACTATAATTTACAGCTAACTACAAATTGAAATTTTGAACATCTTTTTGGTCAACTTGCCCTTCACCAGTTGGTCTGATGAAGGGCTAAAGCTTGAAATGTCAGCTTCAAAACTCTTTATGTGGCCAATTTATATCATCAACTCAGTTGGTGATGATAAATTACATCTGACTTGAGTGTGTATGGACTTACCGAACATGTGCCAACTCTCCTGTAAGTTGTACCCTCATCATAGACTGCATGAACAGAAATATTGCCATCCTGAGAGGCAATAGCAATGTGCTCTCCATCTGATAAAAAGTCAAACAGTTTTACTTTTATTTATTAAGTTAAACATGTTTTATCATTCAGGATCATTACTGAAGTTCCATGACCTCACATTTCTCACTCATTTCATATCCAAAAAGAGTTATTGAAATAATGTTGTTCTACTGAAGATGATTAAGAATAGTGCTTTCAGTTAATTACACTTACACTACATAAAAATTTATCTTAGTCCATAAAATACTAGTGAGCAGAGAATTAAGTCAATCCTATTCCTAGTTAAAGAGCTTAGAAATTAAACCAGCCTCTGTCACAAAACAAACTAAGAAACTTCTCCAAACATCAAGTTCTTAACCCTCTAACTCCCAAGACCTGATTGATAATTCTCTCCTCTAGCTGCTACACATATCCCTGTAAATCTGCTACTGTATGAGTATTTGGTGTTAGATCATGATAACAACTCCTACCTGATAAGTTTGAGTATTCTCATTACTTGTTTACTGGATAATATATGGATATTATAGGAAGAAGTTGCATGTTGATCACTTCTGGTAGCTAAAGGTTTAAAGCAATAAACTCACGTGGATTGGTGCAGCCATGATATGTTTTAGTCAGGTGAAAAGTAACCATACCTTTAGCATATTCCAGATCAGGTAGAGGGTCTGTTCCATCTTGGAATGAAGCAATGTGCATACCTGATTCACACGACACCACAATCCACCTGAAAAAGTTGAAAATTTGGTGATTAAGCAGTTTCTAAATAACAACCAAAAAGTCTAATTTTACTCTAACTTATACCTTCCCACAGTTGTTCCCAAAGCTAACACATCACCAGTGGAATAGAAAGCTGCTGATTTGACAGGAAACTAGAATAAAGAAGATCAAAATTAATAATTCATTCAGTGCTTGAGATCTTCAACTGTTGATAGTCCACATGTCTGAAAAAGGTAATTAATCTAAAGGTTTAATCTAAACACAAGCTGAAAGGCCTATCCATCTGGTGCTCATCCTAGTTCTACAGCACTACGCACAGTTTGTTTAATTCCTCTGGAGAGATTTTAGTCCATCACAAGTTTTGCACCCTCTCCCCTTCTGCCCTGCATTTCATCAGCTTTCATCAAAAGAGCACTAATACCCATTTTCACTCTTGAGAAAAGAGAGTAGTAGGGATAGTCAAGTGTAGTCTAAACTTCTAAGATCTAATGGCAGCTCATTCCAGAGTTTAGGTGCAGCAACGGAAAAGGCCTTGTCTCTGTATGTTTTAAGTCTTGACTTTGGAACCACCAGAAATTTTTGATCAGTAGAGCGTAACATACGTGAACATGTATGATAACTAAGTAATTCCGTGATATATAATGGTGCCATACCATTTAGGGCCTTATAAACTAACAATAAAACTTTAAAAAGAATCTGAAAGTGAACAGGTAACCAATGCAGTTGAATCAATACAGGGGTGATATAATCAGATTTCTTGGTTAAAGTAATGATACGAGCAGCCGTGTTTTGCACAGACTGCAAACTACTAATTGTATGCTTAGGGAGGCCATACAATAAAGAGTTACAATAATCTAGTTTTGAACTAACAAATGCATGAACAAGAATTTCTGTAGTTTCCTCAGTGAGGTACTTCCTAATTTTAGAAATGTTGATTAATTGATCCAATACCAAAATTGATCCAATACCAAATTCTCCAAACGATGTAAGTATAAAATCATATGAATTGTGTGGCAGACAGTTTGGAGAATGAAAAGGGAGTGAAAAGGTTCAAACAAAAGTTACTAACTCTTACTTAACCCTTTAACTCCCATGATCTGATTGTTAATTCTCTCCTTTAGCTGCTACTCATTTACTTGTGAATTAGTCACAGGAATTTGGTGTTAGATCAAGATAACAACTTCTGCCAGATAAGTTTAAGTATTTTCATTACCTGCTTGCTGGATAATGTGTGATATTATGGGGAGAACTTGTTAATCACTTCTAGGAATTAAAGGAATAAACATGGCTCAAGCAGAAACTGTGATAGCTTACCTCCACACTGATCGTCCAAATAACCTGATGAGTTTCAGCATCCCACAAAGAGACTGTGTGGTCAAGAGATGCACTGATAAACTGTGTTTCATTAGGATGTACCGCTAGGGCATGAACTTCATCCTTATGACTCTACATGAAGATATAAAAGCTGTTGTTAAGCTCTAGATCTTTTCCACATGAACAAGGCATTGCAAATGAAAAAATCTCCATTATGGTATTTTTGATCTTCTGCAATTGCAGTCCATGAATTACTTTTGCTGTGTGTGATTGGTCTAAAACTGTCATAAAAGGTAAACAAGAAAGTGCCTGTACATTTAACAATTTGATAAATGACAAGTTAGATAATTATTGGTTTTTCATAATTGCTATATCTAGTACACTGGGAAATTTTTCTGTGATCAGTGCCAAGAGTATCACCCGCTTGAAATGCATGAATAGAGAGCCTGAGGAATTTGTGCAGAGCAACTTGAAAAAAGACTGGCTCCTATATAGATGTAAACCCCAAATATTGCACAAGGAAAGCAATTTCAAGGGACCACACATTCTGCATATTGATACTAGTGTCTCCATTTTTCTGAGATTTATCAATGGCAAATCAGTAATACCTAAAAAGGGTTTTGTTTCATACCTGAACAATTGGATGATAGGTAGTATTCAGAGAGCCCTCTACAACATCATTACTTGTCACTCCGAGAATAACACTGATGTCATCTCCATGGCCTGAATGCAATGGTTCAATAGCACAGATTCCCCCAAAATTACTATCAAGCTGAGAAATAACACCAAAATATTTTAAAGCTAGTAACATTTAATATAAGCCCCACATGCTCTTCTAGTGATGACAGTTTTTCCTATGAAAGAACAACATGTTGGATAGAAAGTGTTTTCCTCACCTGAATTTCATGTAGTGGTGTATTAAAATATTTGTTAGCATCCCAAGCTTCAAGTCTGCCATCCAAGCCACCACTTAACAGAGTCCCATTTTCAAGTAACCTTAGACTTAGAATACTTTTCTGCAGATAAAAATGAAAAATACAATCTTAAGTTGCTGTATTGACAGTACTGTTATTCATGGATGAATGAAGGAAATGATTCCTTGGACAGAAGCAGAAAGAAAAAGAAGCAACATAAAAAGGAAGAAAAGAAGGACAAGAGAACAGAAAAATAGAATCAATAATGAAAAAAAAGTGGAAAAAAGGTAACAGGGAGGGAAGATGGAAGATGGACAATCTGGATAGCAGAGGGGAGAGATTGGATGGAGAGGAAGGAGACATGACAAAGGAAGGAGAAGGGGAGGGTAAGGGGGGAAGGATAGGGAGTGGGAGAAGTAAGGAAGGCAGAGGGCTGAATGAGAAGGAAGGAAGAGAGGGAGGAGGAAGAATGCTGATGGTGAAAAGATGAGGAGCTAAGGGAGAGAGGATAAGGGTGGCAGGAAGGAACTTAAGTGGTATGATTCAGCAGATGAAAGGGGAAAAGGAAAGGTAAGGAGAATGAGATGGAAAGGAGAGATCAAAGAAAATAAAGTAGTCACATCACAGCTACTGAGATGGGCACGAGGAAAGGTGGATTTCTATGTGAATTCAATTATCAAAGTGACAAAATTTATAGTCTAAGGAAACAAATCTTACCTCATGTGCATTTCTAACAACAAACTTGATCTTCTTTGACACTGAAATCCAATGAAATTAAAAGACCCAAATTTAGTTAGTCCTTTTTTACAATTCTATATGTGGAGATGATTCAACTTCATAGCAATAATAGTAAAAAATGCACTGGACTATTTTTATAAGAAGTTACCTTTTCCCCAAACTGTGATGGAACCATTAGAGTCACCAGTAATGACGTCTCCACTGGGTGAAAACTCTAAGCATGTAAAGTACTGGGGAATTTCATATTTCTGTAATGGTAAACATGATTAAAATTCAACATTAAGGTGAAAAAAAACATTTTTGGAGTTTTAACCCCTTACGCCCTATCATCAGTTTGTATATTCTCCATACTGTTCTCTATACAGTTCCCAAGGTGTCAACTAGGATAATTTGTTTAATAATCAAGAGCTTCTCTAGCTGGTGATCATTTCCCTTATTCTCAGGACCTTAATGTGTAATTCAGGGGTGATATTGTTAGGAGAAATTAGATGCTAATCACTCTTAGAGGCTAAAGGGTTAAGTAGCTGGTATATACCATGCCTGGCCAAATTACCGACTTATTCAAATCAGTCTTAGAATTTATAACTACAAGTTGCAAGCAAGAAGAAACCTTGGGTTCACTATACAAGTTAAAATTAAAGGTTCACGTTGAATGAGTACCAATAGATTCACCTCAAAATAGCCACTTTTCCTCTCTAGTCTTGTGTTGTGAAGTCTCCAGAAATAGACATGCTCCTTTCCACAAGTGACAAGAGTCTTGCTGTCATCAGGATCAAAGACGACTGCCACAATAGCATTAGACTGACCCTAATTTCCATAAAAGGAATTCTTTTAGTCCCATCAATACTTAACACCTTAGCATCAGTATGCAAATTCTCCATACTGTTATGTATACATTTCCTGGGTGGTGGGGGTGGCCCTAATGACATTAAATTGCTCAACAATTAAGAGCTTTTTTAGTTGGTGATCATTTCTTAAATTCTTGTGACCTCAATGTTTGATTCAGGGTTGATATTGTAAGGAGAAATTAGATGCTAGTTACTGTTAGGGTTCAAAGAGTTCAGTCATCACCTTATTTTAGACCACTCTACACTGTCTAACAGTTTGCAGAGTGTTTGAACATATGAACATAATGAATGGCCTAACTTGGTCTTAAGTTTTCTGTAGTTAAGTTTGTTGATCTAGCAGGAGTTACAGATACTCTGATTTTTCTTCAATGCCCCAAAAAATTTAAGATGTACAAGCAAAAATTAATTCCGTCTTTGCACCTTGCTCTGTTGTGTTATTGCTCTTTCTTCCCATTCCCACACAGTGAGATGATGCTCATCATCCAGTGAATCCACACAGGCCAGTTGTTTCCCATTATCCTGTTAACAATTTGAAAATAACCGGTAAGTAAGAAACTGAGTTTTATGTGTCATTGACCATCTTAACTGGCAAAACATCCTTATGCCTGCCAGTATTTCACTCATTTTTCATTAAAAAATCAGATAAGCAGTTGAAAGAGATGATGAGCACAGATGAGAACACATTTGTGGGGAGGAAAATGACTTCCCCTCCACAACTGATAGGGAAACTACTCTTCATAAGATAATGTTTCCATTACTGTGAGGATGTTCAAATTCAATTTAATTATGTAAATCCAAAAATTTCATCGATAGTCTGTAGTTCTTGTTGGTTGATTGCACAGTCTGATGCAAAAAGCAACTGTTGTTGTTGACACAGAGTGGATTTTAAGCAGTGGTCATCATCAGAGTCAAGTGGAGAGAGTTGTTAATTTGTTGGTGCTTAGCAAAAATGATTTAGAAAACAAGTAAAATGCTAGCTGTGGGGCAGTGACTGCATGCCTGACAGAATAACAGTCTGAAAACAAAGTAAATTACCTGCAGAGAAAATGCTAAGGAGGAAACACTCAAACTGTACTCCTGAAGGGCCAGAACAGCTAATGTGATTAGTGTCTCTGCATCCCAGATCCTGATATGACTCTGTGCAAATTAAAGATATTTATAATAAATGTCTTGGCAGTTTTAACTTTTATGAAAACTACTTCTAACTTCATTTTACTTTAAAACCAATAATTTGTTGGAGAAAAGCCAGCTAAAAGGAAAACAACTTGGCTGTTTATCCACAATACCTCTCCTTGACTGGGAAACCCATCTACATTTATCCTAGTAACTAACTGCTGAAGATCGGAGCAAAGTGACTGATAAATTATCTAAGGACAAGTTATAACATTTTGTCAACAATTACTGATAATTTTAATTAGCATTCAATCATTTTAAAAGTTCTATAACTTACAAGTTCATTTTGGTCTACTGATAGCCCACATGCCTGTCCTGTTGCAATATACCACTGATTGGGATGAACAGCCATGCTGGGTAGAAGAAATTTACAGATATATTAATCAGTTACTTCTAGTTGTGATTGGTTTAGTTATGCATTTGGTTTGAAAGGAAAATGGTGCAAGTTTTCTGGACCAAACACAGAGAAGGGAAAGCGAACCCAAAGCAATCCCTGATTACTTTTAACACTTCATTGAAAATTACTTTTGCTTGCTAACCAACAAACCACCATCTGCCTGCACCAAACTGTGCTGACTATTTGTTACCTCAATTTTCATTTAATCTGTGCTTTTCAGACCAACTTTTCATCACTATTAGAGATTGTTAACCAATCAGAGTTAACAAGTTTTCTAGAAATATATAATATTTATCAATTGTAGGTGACTGTTTTAAGCTCAAAATAGATGTCATGATTTCTGTATAACCTGCAGCACATTGCATACCATTTAATATCATCAGCATGTCCAGTGTAATGCCGCTGAGTGTTTGTTGACTTGTTATATATGACCACCATTGTAGCAGCAAAATAAAGTATTTCTCCAGATGGTAAGATGTGTAAATTATTATAACTGTCTTTGCCATGGTATCCATATCTAAATCAAATGTCAAGGGTCATATAGCAGCACTTATAATTCTTTGTCACAGGTTATATCATTGACCTTTGAGGCAGTCTATCTTGAAAGGAGAATTCTCCAACTAAAATTTAATAGTCTCATTCAATTTTTTATTCCAACCTGGAGGACATTCACTGGTTTCTTTATACTAGTCCCAAGTTACTTCATCTCTTAACCCTTTACTCCATAACATCAGTATGCATATTCTCCACACTGCTCCCTATACATTTCCTATGGTGCTGACAAGGAGAATTTGTTCTACCATCATGGGCTTCTTTAGTTGGTGATCAACTCCTTCATTCTCATGACCTTAATATTTCATTCAGGGGTGATATTTTAAGGAGAAATTAGATTTTGGTCACTCTGAGGGGTTAAAGGGTTAATGTAATATATGGTCTAAGTATAGAAAAGATACACCCAAGAGAGTTGCAGCTTGGAGTCTGGTGGTGATACTGGAGACTCATCAATTGTATAGTTATCCAAATCTGATGTGTGATGATAAGTATGTACACGTCCTTTTACTTTTATGGTCACAACTTGGCTTTTAACTGAAAAGAGAGAATCACATGTAAGACAGCAGTTGCATTATTGCCATACAATAATGGCCTTTAAATGCATGACTGGGTGTGCTCTAGACTCTTTATTTTCTAAGTAAATCCAAAGAGCTACCATCACTAAGTGTACAATGAGGAACTCCCAGATGCTAAATATTCCTTTGTATAAAACTGCCACAGGACAAAGAACTTTCTACTTCAGGACAAACTCTGGAACTCATTGGACTCTGCTCTTAAGTTGAAACCGACACTAAAGGACTTCAAACTTTGCCTGAAGAGAAGCCTTACCTCAAACCTTTTTAGAGACTTAATTGCTTTTGTTATTTTAATTTAATTAATTGATTAATTAATTTGATTATGTTATTTATTTACTGGTTAATTAGCCCATTAATTTATTAGTATATAGTTTTAATTATTTCTTTATTCTGAAAAGCCCATTTGGGATGAATAAAGTATATATGTATGTGTGTATGTATGTATGTGTGTATGTATGTATGTGTGTATGTATGTATATTATTTACACATTTTTTGCACATAACTACAATATCAATGGACAAGTGTTTCTTATACTGAGATGCTCCTAGTGGTAAATTCTTGGCACAGTCTTTGCATTCTTTTCACACTTATTTCACATGAAAATTTAACATGCATATGAAATTTTCTTAGTGAAATGCAAGTGAAAAACATTTGCAAAGCATGTGGAAAAGGTTGTCCCTTCTTTATCTATTATCCTTGAACATAAGTACCTGTATGTATATTCTCCTTAATGTTCTCTATATATTCCTATGGTGCCGACAAGGAGAATTTGTTCAACAATCAAGAGCTTCTTAAGTTCGTAATCATTTCATTTATTCTTGTGACATTAATAATTGATTCAGGGGGTAATACTGTAGAGAGAAAGTAGACGCTAGTCACTCTTACAGGTCAAAAGGTCAAGAGTATCTCACATGCCTTTCAACTGCGACAAAATGCCGAAAGACTTGCACTAGTGCATGTATGCCCTTTGGAGTCTAAATTGAAACGGACCAAACCTAACTTTTACATTCAATACTATTTCACTGCATCTAAGTAAAAATGTAAGAAGCCTACAGTTAAGGTGTTGAGCCACATACCAGTTGATTCTTCCCTTGGTTTCTTCTTGGACTTTTGAAAACGATTTCTTTGAGGTGGAGATCCTGAATGGTTACTACTATTAGATGATGGATTAGACAAGTTTCTCTTAGAACCTTGTTCTGTGCTACTAGCAATAAATGTATCAGCATCCCGATATAACTGTGAGAGACTTTTTACCTGGAAAACAGAATACCCTATTTAACAATTAAAGTCTACGGTGCCATACATCTGTTCAAAGTATATCATAGATTAGGTCAAAATCTGGTGAGAACAAAATGAGGCACAGGTGCAGCCCAGTGTGTCACTAATATACTCAAAGAGATTTGCATGAAGAAACAACTTTCTACTAATTGGTATGTTTGACCATACAGATAGTGTTTGTCAGCCCATTAAAGAGCTGGATTTTCATCAAAGTAGTGCCAATAGTCTAGTCCCAGAAGTGATTAACATTAAACTTCTTCCTATGATATCTATACATTATTCAGCAAACAGGTAATGAGAATATTTAAACTTATCAGGTAGAAGCTGCTACCTTGATCTAGCACCAAGTTCTCATAACTAATTCACAAGGAAATGTGAGACAGCTAGAGGGGAGAATTAACAATCAGATCTTGGGAGTTAAAGAGTTAAGGGCCAAAAGGTAACTATTTTGACTAGAGTAACCAGCAAAATGTTATCAAGTAGCTGGTGGAACTCCAGCAGTCATCTGCTTGTTTTGAAATCCCTGAGTCACTGAGTTAAATCCTTTCCCACTAAATGTTTATCCATTTCCACACATCTTTTTTGTAAAGATTACAATCTCCCTTCTTTGCACTGGTATACCAGCTCTCCCAGGGGTGAATTATGCAAATTTATTTAATTTAATTACACTCCCTCAAGAAATTATCCACTTATAATAATAATAATTATGTTTCAAAAGATCATCAAAATTTTCCAAGGTAAGAGATCAATTTTGCAAAATTCACTTCATCTTCTAGACATCAATAATAAACTTGTGCTAAAAAACATGCATTAAAACTAGCAACCAAATACTATTAATAATTAAAAACAAGTAATTTCATAATAAGCAGCCATCTCTATTCCACAATGTCAAAAGGCCCGCCTGCCTCAGTTCTTGACCGACTAACTGCTTTCATCAAATAGTTAAAAAATAATTTGGAAAAATATGGCAAGATAAGAGAGAGCATAATTTGATTTACCCAATTTAATGTCCATTTATCTATCTATTCGAGGACGGTGCTTGATGCATTGTGCAAAAGCAGACAGGTGGCTATTAAGTCTTGTAGACAATATTTGTCAACGAAATTAGACCGATCTGGTTTCAACGTTTAGGATAATTTTGGTTAAATTCCCTATTGCACGTAGCCTTTTTCTGTGATTTCGAAAAAAAAATTCTACCCATGACCTAAAAAATAAACGAAAATCAAAATCGCTCAAGAGTTCCGTTAAATCGGAACGAAAAAGAGTAACTCTTAACGGTTAATCTATCTTTCACGCGGCAGTGATGATTTTGTTTTCGTAGGAAATCAGCGAAGCTTGCCGAATGAACGAAAATTAACTTAAGCCTCACCTTGATACCTTCTACATTGCGCAGTTCCTTGACAGAGTATTTCAACATGTCAGAAATGTCCTTTAAAACAGCATCAAAACTTTTGACGGTTTTCGTGTTCAACAAAATTTTGCATTTCTTGTTTCTGTCGCGCTCACTCACGATAGTTATAACGCGCGGTTTCGGATTTCTATCGGAATTCCCGCCAAACTTTGAATCCCTGCTAGAGGAAGAATGCGAAGATCCTCCAGAGAAGCTTTCCACATCGAGCGACCGAGGCTTATCCTTCATTTTTTCGCCGTAGCTCACATTTTTAATAAGTTGGTCTCCCGAAGAACAGATATAATGCCTTCCATCCTCTAGCTGGTTGATAGTTGTAATCACACTTCCACCTGGCGAGAACACATTTCTTACTCCGTACGGAAGTGGAATTGCCTTCGAAAGGTCATCTACAATAGTCTCGAAAGATCGGTAGCGTTGCCTAGTCACGACCATTTCGACGCCTTTGAAATGTTTGTCCCCATTTCTATAGAAAGTGATTTTCTTGACAGCATTTACTCTACTTTTTCGCTGGTCTCTAGCTGCTGGATCTGAGGTAGAATTATTAGGAAATTCAGGATTTGATGAGTTAAAATTTCGTGTTCTGAAGTTTCTGGGCTCGCCTGCGGTGAGCTCGTTCGCTGCACCTTCGTTGCTCCTTGCTGGCAATGGAATGCGACTATTGTAGTTAAGTTTACCATCTCTCTTTTGCGGTTTTCTATCCCTGATATCTCTGTCAATTTCTGGAAATCTGACATGATCGTTGTCTTCCAGATCGCTGTTGCTATCGGCTGGAAAAGGCGGTGCTTGTCTCAAGCCATTAGCCAACGCTCGACGTTGTTGATGTTGGTTACTGTATCCTCGTCCGCGATAAGACATGTTAAATCCACGAAATCATCATGTTTAAACACTTTTCAAGCAGACGGTAAAGATTCTTATTAGTTTCGAGTATTGAAATTTCCAGAAGCTCGTCAGAAAAATCGCGTGAATCCATTGAAAATACACCAATAACTGATAAGACTGAGATGATTGAAATTAAAATAACTAAATAAACTTCAATTCAGGAGTAGCCTTTTTCAGCTCTTTCGTACTCAGCATTTATCCCATTCAACCACGCGATGTTCATATAATAAAGCCGTTTATCTCTTTAAGCTCGGCCTTGTGTACACAGAACTGACAGTTAAGACAACTTGTCGACTTTCGTTGTGGTTTTGCATTGTCACGCAGACATCCTTGAACGATTCTGAGGACCCTTTTGTTTACTTGCCTACGAAATTGATTGTTAATCTCTGAGAGTTTCCCTTCCATTGTTAAGGTAATCAACAGTGTCGTCAAGCTCTCGTAACTAAGCAGGTGTTCGACACCACATGAGAGAAATGATTCAAATGCAAATGCAGTTTCTTCAAAGCAAGCATGCATGACCGCCATTTTGACTTTAGTAGTGCAGCAATGAGAGAGGCTTGGGACAGACATAGCAAAGCGTGACTCCCCACCCCATTGAGTCTCAATGGGGTGGGGTGGGGGTAGCTGGGTAAGTTTCTCTTGATAACGTAAATTGGCCGCCGAAAATAGTTTCTAAAGATGACGATAGCCCTCTGTCAGAGAGAAGAGAAGAATAGAGTAGTCCCTAAGCTATAGGGTGAATTTGTTGGCTAATTGATGAACCCTTCTGAGACCCTAACTCCAGCTAGAACAGTCACGCCAAAGTCACGCCAGGAGCATGTGTTTGTTACTTACACTGTACTTCGCGTTGCAACGGATTATTCGATAAAGTCTTGTACAAAACAGGAGTAAACCTGTGCGATATATATTTTTTGAGGATCTTCTTCCAGATTACTATTTTCTGCGGCTGTCTTTCTTCGTACAAGTGTCTTGATCGAACAGGTAAGCATTTGTTATTCCGCTGAAATGTAATGTAAGATCACATAATTTTATACGCGTTGTTGTCCACTTCATTTACATTAGATCTCCACATAATCTTCGAAATCCTCTTGATAGCTTGTGTTAATCCACGAAAGAAGTGTATTGATTTGGGTGTTATACTTTTGCGGCGCTCATTCCAGATTGCTGTTGTTCTCTGTTCTTAGACGTGTACTTCGGTATAAAATATGCCGTTATTCCGTTATGTAAGCAAGGTAATGAGGTATCAAAGTATGCTATTCCGGCGGGTGTCACTAAACTCAGCGCAAGAAACCCTAGTTTTAATTTATTAGTGTACCAATTTGATTTCGATTTCTCGTCTCTTGGCGAATTAGGATAGAATCATCCTTTGAGGTGTGCAGTACTCTTTTCCACTTAGATGAAATTTTAACGATTATGTAACTCAGTGAACACCACGGAAATAATTTTGCAAATTTTGAAAAGCGTAGGGTTTATATTTCTAGAAAGAAAAATATGTATTCGATTCATTGTGATCAACTGGTGGCGCAAAACCCCCCTTGAGTCTCATCAGCTCCACCCTCCCCCTCACCCTAGAACAAAAACTGACTTGTGTTTTTAGTAGTGGGATCTTTATCCATTTGGGCCAGTTTTCAATCAAAGAAATGCTTACTGAGCATTCTAAATTTGGGTAATAATTTGTAAGAAATATAGTGTACAGTATTTTGGCCTGAAATAATTTTTTGATAAGTGCCCTCCTCCCCTTCATCATTCATGAGTCCCCCTCTCCAATAAACCCCCTAGACCTCTCCAGTGAGCCAACTTTTTGGAGGCCCCTGAGATTGATAAGTCCCTAAGGAACTTACTAGGGTGTTTATGGTACTTTTAGAGAATGTTCCACCTGTCTTTCCCCTTTCTGTTTGGATTATTGGCATTACTGTACATCTCCTTGTAAATGAATTGACCCTTTACTCCCTAACATCATTTTGCATATTCTCCATACTGTTCTCTATAAATTTCTTAAGGTGCTGAAAGGGAAAATTTGTTTAACAATTAAGAGGCTCTTTAGTTGGTGATCATTTCTGTTTTTCTCATTAACTCAATGTCAGATTCAGGGGTGATTTTGTAGGGAGAAATTAGATGCTGGTCACTCTTAGGGATGAAAGGGTTAAGAGATATGAGTGATGAATCAAACTGAAACTCCATCTGACAACTTTGTCTGTTCTTATTAGATATCCCCTGGTCTTCAATAAATTTTAACTCAAGTTGTGATACCAAATGGGGAGTGCTGGACAAAAACCTGTTGTGCAATTTGGCCAACTCTGGTACAGAATGAAAGCTGTTGTCTACTTATTGGTGCTTCTCTCTACGACACCATTCTGTCTTCTGTTCACTGTTAGCTGTTGGTTGTTTGGAAGGAGGACCAGGCAAGATCAACAGATTACAGAAGCTCTCAGGCAGACTGTGCTGGTATCTGGTGTTGCTCACACCAAAGGCCTTCACCTTGCCAAGACCTTGGGAAAAGCTGGTCACAGAGTTATTGTGGCTGACACAGAAGACTTTTGGTGCTCTGCTGTTCAATGGTCTCACTTCATTTCAAAATTCTACACAGTGCCAAATTTAAATTCCTGCAGTGGAAAAGAAGATTATATCAATGGAATGATCAATGTTGCAAAAGCTGAGAATATTGATTGGTATATTCCAGTTAGCCACACAAAGACAGCTGTAGCAGACACAATCATTAAACAGCGTCTGGCAGAAGTAAATCCTATGATAAAATGTCTTGTTTTTGATGACCCAAAGTTGACCACTATTCTTGACAATAAGGTTCTTTTTCTAAAGGAATGCCAAGAGCTTGGTCTTCAAGTACCATACTTTAAGGAAGTGGATAGTACAAGTGAAGTCCAGGAAATGGCTAAGAAGGGTCTTTTCTCAAAAGGCCACTACTTTCTGAAACCATTGATGCCATATTCTGAAGACCGATTAAACTTCACTTGCATACCAAGCAGTGCAAAAGAATTTGATAAATATATTGCTTGCTATGAGAGAAAGGTGAACAGTAATAATCCCTACCTGATCCACCAGTTCATAAAGGGAAAGGAATTCGCAGCCAATGCCATTGTTGTGAATGGATGTCTCCAAGTCTTTCAAGTATGCCCTTGTTCGCCAATGCAAATTGATTATGATGTTGTCCAACACCCTGCAATCAAACAGTGGGTAGAGGAGTTTTGCAAAGCCAAGCAACTCACTGGTTGTGTTTGTTTTGACTTCCTGGAAGATGAGGAAACAAGAGAGGTTTACTGCATTGAGTGCAACCCAAGGCTCCATTCTGCTATTGTCTCTTATGACATGCAGCCAGATCTTGAAAGAGCTATTCGTGGGGCCATGGATACTCAATTTCAGCTTGAGGTTCCGGTGCAGCCCTCCCCTTCTTCAACCCATGTCTACTGGTTATACAATGAAATTGCCAAAGTTGGGCTTTTCCAGCAAGGTTTTGGAGAGTTTATGCAGGTTTTACAGAATGGAAAAGATGCAGTCCTGGATGCAAGTGATCCTGTGCCGTTCTTTATGTTAAATCATTTTCAGATGCCTGTGATGCTTATTCAGGCAATTATCAGTGGAAAGAAATGGTCTATAACAAATTATTGCCTTGGACAACTGAGGTAACTCAAAGTTACTTTGAATAATGTATGGTTTCCTAAGAAATTCAAACTCTTTAACTCGTTTGTCTCTCAGGACTGAATCCTTGTTCAATTTCATGCCAGTAAATAGAGGAATGCTTATTGAAAATGTAGAATATGAATGAAAAGGGGTTGGGGGAGATAGCTGTGTTAGCCACATCCTGTTTCACTTCTCATTCACCAGATATTGACTGCAAGACAGTCTATCAAACCAGTAAAGAAGACACCAAGTACTTAAAAACAGCATTTATTTGGTATATATTAATTTAATCTTTGAAGAATACTGAAAGGGGTAAAGTATTGCTTTGTTAGAATACTGTTTGATAACTGCACTATCATGCGCCAACAGTAACTATAATTGCTTTTAGCACAAGGTTGTGGTGCAATAGCCTAACAATTTTGGTACAAAAAATTAATTTTCTCTAGGGTGAGTCTATGTGAATCATCCCAGCTAAGAGAGGAACACTTAAAATTATGTTTAAGAAAGGGTTGGGCTCGATACTTGCATCTCACACACCCAGTCTTTACTCCCAATATCTTCTCATTCACCTCATATTAAGGAAAGAAAAAAGACTGCAAGGCAGTCTTACAGAGCAGTAACTGAGGCTTCAGAAGTACCTATTAAGTAGTACCTATTTAGTGTACTGTAGTTATTGTGTTAAGTGCTCACCTTGGTTATTTTAGGATAGGTGGATAAGTGAGGCTGTAAAATACAGCTGTAAGTAATGACAGAATTTTCAATTTACTTGGTGTAAACTTTAATTAATGGTTTTGATATCAAGATGTAACTCAAGGGGTCATTTTATTTGCAAAGTGTTCACAGAGGAAATAGGTGTAGCACCACTTCTTCTGGGGCAAGATATACTACCATTAAAATAAATGCATAATTCACTGAAAGAAAGTGTTACAGTTGTGATGGTTGAAGTACTTGCAAATGCTTCTGCTTATTTTCATGTAAAACTGTCATCACTGTATCTAGAACAGGTGTAGATTGAATTGTTTGAAGTGTAAGATACAAAACTTTGCAGATAAAAGTATTCAAATAAAACCCATTGAGAGCTGATCTCAGTTCACAGTGTTTTATTACATCAATTAATAAATAAACAGGTTACAGGGAATGTCTGTCCCTTAAGATCATACTTTTATAAATTTTATCAATCAAGCTGGCATTCTGTCACATGTCGATACTTAGGCACTTACTCACCATTATATTACTGTTGAAGCTTATTCTAGTTTCAAAAGAAGGAAGCTACCAGGATGCTTACAGTCCATTGCAGATAACCAACCACCAATTCATAGAGTTTCCTTGAATGTTTGTTACTACTTTTTTAAAGTAGCTGGTGATTCTCGATTGAATGTCAAAAGTAATGTGCAATTCCTTTGATTTTGTTTTACCTCCTTCTGTGGTTGGTCTAGAAAACTTGCGCCATGCACTACACCAATCAGACACCAAGCAAAAACCAATTGTGACTTGGTCACCTGCATTTTCCTGTGCTTTTGGTAATTTGCTGCTATTAGTTTAAATCCTTAATGGCAAATGATGATGCAAGGCAGAGTGTTATGATTGGCTGTTGTTATTACTTGGTTTTGGTTTCACGACAATCAATTGAAAACTGCTCTAAAACAAAACTGATTGGAAGTAATCACTGTGGCCAATTAGAAGGAAGGAAATAATTACCTGACAGCCTACCTGTGCTTTAAGTAAAAGCAAGCTAACTGCCTGATGCATAAGAAAATTTGACTGACCAAGTCATGATTGGTGTTAGTTTTGTTTCTGTTAAGAAATATAAGAAAATATGAGTGACCAAGTCATGATTGGTGTCAGTATTATCAACAGAGTTGATAACTTAAATTGGCCTCTGTAAAGAGTTTCGAAGCTGACATTTTGAGTGTTAGCCCTACATCATTCTCTCTCATGAAGGGCTAACCCTCAAAATGCCAGCTTTGAAACTCTTTACGGAGGCCAATTTGCATCATCAACTAAGTTGATCATACCAAAATTTCTTGTTACACTCTTTCACTGATGCACCACCACATGGAAAGTTACCCCCTTTATTCACATGACTGGTGTTAGGTTTGTTTCTGATTGGACAGGAGGGTAGTAAAGCTTTTCTGAACCAATCACAGAGGTAAGTAAAGCAAAAGCAATCCTTGGTTATTTTTGACACTCACTTGAAAATGTCTCACTCTCCTGGATTGAGAGACACACTTAGAGTTTAATGTCTTCCTTAAGAACACTGCATAGTGATCCAGGCCAAGGTCTGAACCTGGAACTTTAGATTTGCAGTCCACCATTCTAACCACTAAGCCACAGCATCTATTATAATTTCTACCAAATCTTAAACAACGACTTGATTTTAAGTTTAATGTTCATATTGACAGGATTCAACTGCAATATTGTTAGTGTAATGACCTGGTTAAAAACATCAGCAGCACAGTATGAAGTTAGATAAGACACAGGTAAATAAAATGATTGACAGATTAATTTAACAAAAATGTTTTTAGACCGCCTTTTTGACGAATTTTTGCCTGGGTCAATTCCAGTGGTGCCTGCAGATCATCCTGACTCGATGTACTTCATGTGAACAAATTTTTGTGCAAAATTATTTCTTTTGCTTGAATTTGTTTGACATCATGTGTTTTACAATCCCTGCAGCAATGTCCTCTGCTGTCTTATTTTGTCCAAAATACTCTGCAAAGTTTCCTGAAGGATCCACAAGGTACTGAATAATGGTGTGATCAACCTGGAAAAAAATTCATAAATTATAATAAACCTGTACTACATCTTAACTCTTTAACTCCCAGAAGTGATTCACATTTAACTTCTCCCTACAACATCCATCCACTATCCACCAAACAGGTAATGAGAGTATTCAAATATATCAGGTAGTTGTGTTGATCTAACACCAAATTCTTGTGACTAATTAACAAGGAAATGTGTCGCAGCAAGAGGGGAGAATATATTAACAATCAGATCCTGGGAGTTAAAGGGTTAACCATCTAATTCTGTTACCCCTTACACCCTATCATCAGTGTGCATATTCTCCATACTGTTCTCATACATTTCCTACAGTGCTAACAAGGAGAATTCTCCTAACAATCAAGAGCTTCCTTTGTTGAAAATCATTTCCTTTATTCTTGTGACTTAAATGTTTGATTCAGGGGTGATATTGTGAGGAGAAATTAGATTCTGGTCACTTGAAGGGGTCAAAGGGCAACCAAGGACATTACAGAATTCTAGTCAAAGTTTGTGTTTTAAATACTTTTTCCATTACATGGCTCACATACAATGTAGTCGTTGTCTTCATCTGCTGGTCCTGCACTGAAGTATACCCTGTAAGCCTTGCAAACTTGTTGGACTTGTTCAGGTGATCCCGTTAGACCAAGGAGACGTGGATGAAACTCTATAACAGGAGGAACATGTATTTAATAAGGGACAAAGCAGTGGGTATCTTAAACAGAATTTAAAAAAAAATTTTCTAAGGAATTGCCATAAAATGTATAATCAGATCCACCTTGGACATACTGCTTCACAGCCTTGACATCATCCCGAGATGGATCAACTGTTATGAACAGGGGTTGAAGCTCTGCACCAAGTGCATCTTTGCTCTCATCTATAAACATCAAAGGACACAATGAAGAAATGTAAACAGTAACAATAATAATAATAATAATAATAATAATAATAACTAATTTTGTAATCTGAAACTACACACTCTTAACCCTTTGACTCCCAAGATCTCATTAGCAATACTATCTGCCATAAAATACTTATGATTTCAATTTGGAGAATTTGGTATTAGATCAACTTGTAGTCCCCTACTTGAATTTTCTTCTATGTTCTCCTCACTAGTCTGCTTGATTCTGTATTGATACTGTAAGGAGAAATTCTGTCTTGGTCACTCATGGGAGTTAAAGGGTCAATCAAGTTACTTCAGTTCTAGAATTTGCCAAAGAACTATCATTTTATTTTCAAATACACAAATGCTGTTTAACCCTTTCATTCCCAGATTTGATCAACATTTAACTTTTCCTTGTGATTCCAGAATGTTATCTTGCAAATAGGTTATGGGAATAGAGAGGCTTAACAGCCAGAGGATGTCATCATGATGTACGCTAAAATATCTCCCCTCTAATTTACAAGAAATTGTATAGTCACTGTGTTAAGTGAGTGGAGAATTGCTAATTGGAACTTGGGAGTTGGACCAAGAGATGTCTTTCCTGATTTAAAAAAAAAAAAAGGGAAACTAATTAAGTTGGGTTGGTATGAGGAATCTTTATTGTAGACAGCAAAGCATGCTTATGTGCTGATAAATGCACTGCTTTGGAGAGAAATGGAATGAGTAACATGATCACAAGATGCCACTAAATTAAAAAGATGTCTGGCACATATACATATACACATACACTGTTAACCCCCTTAACTCCCAAGATCTCACAAGTAATCCTCCTTACTATCTCCCATACAATTCTCATGACGTTAGTTTGGAGAATTGGTATTGGATCACCTAATAATTCCTTAATTGATATTTTAATTCATTCTTGTCACTTCTATGCTTGATATTTTATTGATATCACAAGGAGAAATTCTCTCTTGGTCACTCATGGAGGGTGAAAGGTTAACAGTGCTCATGCTTTGGTTCAGCTTACCAACAAGGTCAATTGCTTTTCCCATTTTTTCTAATTCATCAGGGCAAATATCAGGACAGTGAGTGAAACCAAAGTAGAGCAATATCCATTTGCCATGAAAATCCTTGTCTGTAACAGCTTGTCCGTTATGATCTATGAGACTGAAGGGTCCACCAAGTGCAACTTTCCCCATGGATCTCTTCTGCTGCTTCTCTTTCACTACATTTAAATAAATCAAGATTTCAGTTTAGCTTTAACTCAAAGTTAACAGAAACATTTCCTTATTTCTTCATTGACTGAGCTAAAAGGCACTTTCTCTTTATCCTAAAAGGATGACACTTTCAGTGATCAGAATTTTCTAACTTTGTAGTAGACAAGTTTGCATGCAGGGACAATGTATGAACCATGTAAAAGCTCTCCTTGAGTTCCCTTTTACTGACTTGCTTTGCATTCAGATCTTACTCCTGTCATTATAGTCATTAAATTACCATAAATATTCCAACTCTTCCTTTAAGTGGTTCTAATCCATCAAAGTTTACCCCAAGGTTTCTCTAAAGGTTTACCTTTTATATTCTACCCAGTGTGGTGGCTTTAGACTTAAAAAAACATAGGGACTCCATGTGCAGCAAAAAGGCTGACATTTTTGTATTTCCTTGTAGGATGAGCTTTCCAGTTGTGAGATTTTTTTTTTCTTTTCTTGTTTTTTTTCCCAAAGATGGGGGATTATTCTCACTCCCACCATCAGCTATACCTCTGACAAGCATAATGGAAAATTAGCTAATGGTGTAATTAATTTTCTTACTTCGTTCCTTTTCCTCTTTGAGATGACGAACATAGAGCAGCAGCCCCCCACCAGCCAGTGCACAGAGAGCAAGTGAAGCCCATGTTACAGGACCCCTCTTTGACGATCGCTTGAAAACATCTTCAGCTGGTTTTTGAGCACCTTTTGGTTCAGCACGTGTCAATGCATGTCTTGAAGAGGATATTAATGTTCTTTCATGAGAGAAATTGTTTACTGGCTTCACCTAAACACGAAGAAATTTTAATTCTTAGTGAGATCGACACCATAAATAAAAATTTGTTGTTAGTGTACTAGCAGGTCATTTATCCAGTTTAAATATATTTGGCACATCAAAAACTCGACGAGGAAAAGATGGCATGTCTGATCGATGGCGCCGTAATAAGTTTCATCCGATAACGATATTCATATTGCAATAAAGCATAATTACGTGATTAACCCGTTGTAGAGAAGTTGCCAGTGACACTTGGTCTCCAACGATTACATAAGACAGGTTTACCTCGTAATTAGTCGCTAATTTTAAATTTCCTGGCCAAGCTACTTTGAGGTATGTCTCAGGACTCCTTAGCCGAAAGAAGCTTTGTCTAAGCATCACTTATTTTTGCCAAACAGTTGGATGATAACCAAACTTGAGAAGGAAAAGAGACTCTCAGGCTAATGGCTCAAAAATTCCGCCATGTTTGTTCAAAAGCCGTGGCTACTAAGCTATCCTGTCCACTACAGCCGTGGTCACTTAGCAAACCGCTGTCATGGCCGCCGTTTGTTGTTTAGCGGGTGATTTCGAGTTGTAGGCTGACAGCTCGTAAATAACAGCGTTTTTACCTGTTGAGCTGGCTATGCTCTGTTGACCAACCTTTCTGGTTTCATGATGGAAACGTCAACGTTTTTTTGTGGTATTTCTAGACAAGAGTTGTGCTTGTAGCCAAGGTTTTAGACGTCCTTGAATCTGTCCAAAAATTTGACCGTACAGACTTTGGTTTAGGAATACCCGCAAGCAGTATTTACAATGTGGATCTCGTCATATTGCTGTAATATATTCTATCGAATTGTGATTTTAGGAACTCTATGACGTGTCTTAAATCGTAATTGACAGTGTAGTTTTTATCCTATGTACACAAGCGAATGGTTGTCATAGGAGACAGATTGACCATCTAATTTTGCAGAATCCAGTATTTAACGTTACTTCGAGGTCTAGGAAAGAAACAAAACGCTACATTGGTACAAAAACGATTTTAAAAGGCGCCCAGTTGCCGTCAATGACATGGAAGTGGTGGATTTAGAGAAAAAGGCTATTGAAGACACCATGGAACATCATAGTATTTACACCTCGAATGATGAAACTGTGAATGCCGATGCCAGCGGCAATGTGACCAATGGTGAAGTAGAAGAAA